TGTTTTCTCCTACTCACTGTGGCCTCCCTCTCTCTCTCTCTCTCTCTCTCTCTCTCTCTCTCTCTCTCTCTCTCTCTCTCTCTCTCTCTCTCTCTCTCTCTCTCTCTCTCTCTCCCCTCATGATGACAGAGGTTCTTTGTTCTTTGGTGCATGTGGTTGCATGTGTTTGTGGATGCAGCTGGTGGGAGAGTGTGCATGTGTTTGGCACATGCTGTTTGTTTTGCCATGCTCCATCTACAGAACACAAGACCGTTTTGTTATTATTTGCCCTTCTTGCACCCTGACCTGCTACGTATTTTGGGGTGGGAAATTTACCACAAGGGTTGTCCTAAAACGACAGGTGTTCTGTTCAGCCCGTAGGGAAAGTATGGAGGGGGGGGGGGGGGTGTTGCTGGTGATGACAGGCTTGGTTGTGTCCTTGACTCGGCACTGGTTATCATGTCAGCAATGGCATGATATCCGCCAAAAAGTAAAGTAAGTCTCTTGCATTGATTGCACAGTTTGCATTCATCAAGCTCTCTTCATTTTCAGCAGCTCCTTGTCCGTAACCATGGTAACGGCACGGAAAAGGCAGCAAACGTGCTGTTATTCTGGGATGGAAATCGGCATTATTTCCAGCGCGGCTGGTACTTCGCATGGCGCCATGATTGTGGTAAATATCGGTCTAAAGTGTCATGCCTATCAGAGTAAGAACGGATGTGTACTTGAAAAAGTATTACTGTTGAGTTTGCAATCCGGTGTTTAGTCCATGCACATTTTGATCCAATGTCCTGCATCGTAGAGGGTGATACAGCAGAGGCAGTGGTTTTCGGCCTTTGACCACTTTGTGCTGGGTCTGATCTACTCGCGTTCCTCCATTTCAGGAGCTGCACCTGGGAATTGGTCCTTGATAATGGTTGTGTTACTGTGACAGAGGAAACTCAATTTGACTGGGGCTCGTGTGAGCTGTGAATTTTTTAAATTCTACAAAACCTCCTTGGGACAGTGGCAAATATATTTTCTGTTGGTGGATTCCTTTGTTATGGCTTTTTAGGTTTCTGATGCATCAATTTTGCTTCGTCTCTTGGTGTTCTTCTGTTTATTTTTTCCAGGGACGCCGCAGCCCTGTGGAGCAAGCAGCAGGGACCCGACCACCCAAAAAACCCTAAGTATCCCTGTGCTGTTGTTTAGTATAGCATTGCATGCATGGATCAACTTCCTCTCCTCATTTCACCGGGCTGCAGATCAAAAGTCCTTTTCTTCCAATGACATTCAAACTGCATACGCTGCATGAAATCTCGAATCTTGATAAAAAATGTGAAAAATTCTGATTTTTCTAATGTATGAAGCAAGAATTTTGACTGTGATTGCATCCTTGTTTGCATCCTGCAATTTGAAAGTTGTTCTCATTGTTTCACAATTTTCTCCACTTGACATGAGTTTGAAATACCCTGCTAAACCAACACAGCACTTCCAGAAATCCAATTACAGTCAGCATGTTTACTTCAGCCCAGGAATGGGGAGGGGAAGATGGAAATTAGTGCATGTTATTACATCATCCATGCACATGCATGTCCATCAAATCCACACATTTTGTTGTCGTCTAACCCTTCTGTTTGTTATGCTCATCTTTAGTCCAGGGCCGTCAAGCCAAGTACCACGACTGGTCAAGACGGACGGCTGGCAAGCAGCATCACGGCGGGACATCACCCGGGTCAAGACGGACGGCTGGCAAGCAGCATCACGGCGGGACATCACCCGGGTCAAGACGGACGCCTGGCAAGCAGCATCACGGCGGGACATCACCCGGGTCAAGACGGACGGCTGGCAAGCAGCATCACGGCGGGACATCACCCGGGTCAAGACGGACGGCTGGCAAGCAGCATCACGGCGGGACATCACCCGGGAGCAGTCTAAGTACCAGTGTGCTGTGCATGGAAGTTTTTTTTCAAATCACTGCAGAGAATTGTTTGTCCCATTTGTACCAGGACCCTCTTGCATGTCAGGATTGATTTCATATGCAGTGCATGCCTTGTCCATGTAGTGCATGATTTGCCCACCCCGGGATAGTAGCTTTGCATGGGGCACATCCTGCATGCCTGCAATGTTCTCTGCAGCTTTCCCATGCATGATATCTATACATGTGTATGGTTTATGCAACCCCGGTTTTGTATGTATTGGAGTGGGTGGGAAGCTAGGGTAACTCTTATTGTAGTGCAGGTTCATAGGGTGGTGTGTTTTGTCTGCTGTGTGATTCCACTCCCCAGCCCAGGTCAAGCGTCAACCGGACGGGAGGATGTGATGGCAGCATCGGCCCTATGCAAGGTAACTCTTTGCTTTCGTCCACTCTGTACTGTGCTCAAAATTGCATCCCTCCAGCACAATTCTTGGGCGGTGTCACGGAAACTCTCTCTCCCCCCCCCCCCCCCCCTTCACGCTGCATAGGTTTGAGATGACACAAAGGTGGGACATTTGAACATTTTTTACATTGCATTTCCGTGGAGATCGCACAGAGATTTGCAGCTCGTAAATGTTTCCTTTATTGGGTAGATTGTGGCAATGCATGTACATGTATGTTCAGTAAAGCATTGACTCCGAAATCAGAATGAGATAGTGGCTGGGTGCATGGGCTAGAAAGTTGGTAGATTCACATGTCCAGTACAATGTGCATGCATCGTTGCTGTTGCCAGTATGCTGCTGGCTCTGCTACCCTTCATACCATTCTCTTCCTTCAGGCAGCAAATGACGGAAATTATCCACAGAATAATGTCAACGCAACTGGCTGGCCACCCAGCTGGTGCCGAGTCAAGGACCAACCAAGCTTGTCATCACCAGCAACCGGCCCACCCCCGTCCGTTGGATTATCATTTTTCTCTCTTGGGTTACGGGCTCGAACAGAACACCTGTCACCCCGGGATGGGAAGGGTTTCGTTGCGGCGGTGTCTTCTTGTGTGTTGTGCTGCTATTGATTGTTGGTTTCTTCTGCTGGACACTGTATGCTACGGTGTTGTGTCTGCTGTTGCCTGCTGACTGGTGTGCTCAGAGATGAGATCCTTGGGGATTGCCTTCTGTCTGAACCGGCTGCTCAGTCAGTATCCGAAAAATATGCATCTGCAGGATTTGAGCTGAGGTTTTACTGGCAATCCGGGAGGATTTCATTTCAGGGGAATTTCCCACGGAAGAGGGTGGGGGGGGGGTGCATGGAGGGAAATTAATCTAAGGATGACATCAGAATTAGAACAGATTTCATGTCTTGCGATCTGCGATGCATGCGGTAGCTGGAGGGGGTCCTGCATGACCTACATGTGCATGGTTCTAATAGCTCATGAATATTATACAAAAGAACGGGGCCGGCCGGGTACCTTGGTGTCATGCATGATATTTCCGTCATTACTCATTATCCACATGCAAAAGTCTGTCCCCGGGGAAAATTGCGATTCCGCGGCCGCGTTGTTTTCCGCGATTTTTGCGATTTTTTAAAAGACCGCGTTTTCCGCGATTTTCCCGCGTTTTTTGAACTTTTTGTTGCACTACACGTACACACAGTGCACTGTTCGGTCAGCAACGTCTCATCGTGGCGGCTTTTCACTCAAATATGACGAGTGCTTACACCAGAGACTTGTAACTGATTGATTTCACTGCATACTCACTGAAAATAATAATAATTGCCGCACATCAATATTATTCAGCGCATCTTTACCGCAAATTATGCCATATTATGCCGCGTTTTTCCCCGCGTTTTTTGCGATTTTTTTCCGCGATTTTCCCCGGGGACAGAAAAGTGGTGCACCCGCATAAATTTTAAGGGGAAGTGCATCGATTTTTCGAGTAGGGTCCAGAAGAAAGACAATTTGATATCGGTTCGAATGGCATATCTCTCGATTCCATACGATAAGCGAAACTTGCCAAATCGCCAATTGTATACGCGTGTATACTCACGTTGCCATAGCGACCAGCGAAGTGATGACGTATGAAAGGCACTGCATACGGAAGCCAGGCATGCACCGCGTTCAGGCTGCCTTTGCCTTTGCCTTTGGCCCAGTTTGGGCAGTTTGGCCACGTAGATCTACTGGCACTGAGTCTGTACTTCAACTACTACTTGTCTGGTCGTAGTTGGTGGATTTACCATGGTTGCAGCCCATCGCTTTAGCAACAGCTTCTCGCGAGGGGACGCATACCCGTGATGCTTACAGTTACACGTGCGCTTGCACGTACGTGTTGACTACTAATCGATGAATCGGAATGAATAATTAGGGGCCGTCCGTAAATATCGATGTTTTTTTAGAGACGATATTGGTGCGTCTGGGGGGGAGGGGGTTTGAGCCATGTGCGTCTTTTCGAGCATCAGAAAAATATCGATGTAAATATCTGAAGTTTCGCCGATCCCTGCACGCGGACGTCTAAATGGCTATACAAGAAATGTGAAACCAGCTTCCGTTCGCGGAGCTAAAACTCGCGACACAAGAACAAAATCAAAAATTGGAAGCTGTACGCCCATGGCGAATTTCAAGAGCAAAAGAATGAGCTATTGATTGTGGAAATCGGCCGAACGATGCCTGCAGGACCTTTTTCAAGACGTAGAGGCAGTGCGAACAAACACGGACGAACTCCACAAGAGTTTGCAGTCTTCACTGTCTGAACAAGGATTTGAAAAAATTCAAGCCCGAGCGTAGCCGCTTTGGCTACACCAGTACACGATGGCTGTGAGCACTGCAGCGCCAACCCGGTTCGCTCCCCCCAGGCGATGCAGCTATTGCGTGAGTGCGGCGGGATTTTCACGCCTACACCGGACCCTCAACATCCTGGGCACTTCATGAGCATCCAAAAATATTGATTCCATGATCTAGATGTACATGTGCGTCTTCTGGGGGGAGGGAGGGGGGTCAAGGGAGAGAAGCACCAATATCGTCTCTAAAAAAACATCGATATTTACGGACGGCCCCTTACTATTTTTACTAATTATTGCGTCGTTGAATGAAGTCGGTCGACTCCGGCGATCGTCAGACCTGGTCAGGCTGGTGCGCCATTCCTCAGTCATACTCATAGATGATCATGTCACCATGTGCATTCCTAGATTCCAGTTAGTCACTGACTAACACCTCAAATGCTCAATACTACAATGTACTGACTGTCAATAGCCTACATAACCTGTGTTATTTATTCATTGCCAGCGCAGTATTTTTTTAGATTACCGGTATCATTACAGTCATTGTAGTTTCCGCGCCTGGGCCTAGCCCTAGCCTCGTTGAACGCAGTACCAGTGTTACTGGAGTTGGAGATAACCGGTATCCGGTACCAAGCATTGCACTGAAGAACTCTGCTCACGACATCTCGACGATGCCCACTGCCTGAGCTGAGTGCAGGAGAAATGATTATGTGAACGCGAAGAAAGTAAAAGCTAGCGTGCTTGATTCGAGGCCAGCGAGGCGTTTAGCTACTGCTTCCTTCCAATCTCTTGCGCAGCTTATCACTGCGATAAGTAGACGAGTGGAGATCTCACACTGCAGCAGCAGCCGCTGATAGGAACGACCTTTGAGAATGGCAACGGCCAGTGAAGGGAAGGTACGTGTCATCGTGTCTTGGGTCCGTGAGGCTGAGTTCTTGAATAGAATATTCAGTGACGGTAGGGGAGACGGGAGTTGTACCCAAACCTACCCCCTGCCGCCCTGGTGGCGGCAGGGAGATTTTCATTCATGACCACGTCAAGTTAGCTGCTGCCTGAAACCTCAAAAGTCGAAACACACTGCAATGTCGTAATATTACACTTCAGAGAGCAAGACCTGCGCACTGTGCTGTAAACTGCACCATCTTCTCCCTCTCCAGCCAGCGCCAGCCTGCTGTGAGGTGTGTGTGTGTTTACTGTCCACGCACCCTGGTGCTGTACCTGTATGCACATGTGCGTGCCTCTGTGCGTTTGTGTGTGTGTGTGCGTGTGTGTGTGTATATGTATATTGACAGGGATCTCCTCCTCTCTTAACTATTATATATATATAATATGTGTGTGTGTGTGTGTGTGTGTGTGTGTGTGTGTGTGTATGTGTGTGCGTATGTGTGGATGCGTGTGCACGGACATGCTCTCTCTCTCTCTCTCTCTCTCTCTCTCTCTCTCTCTCTCTCTCATCATCCTGCTCGGACAGGAAAGGAAAGACAACATCAACGTGCGTGTAGTGGTTCGCTGTCGTCCACTGAACAGTGGCGAGCGGCAGAATAAGTGCGAGTCAGCAGTGCACGTGGACGAGGCGCGAGGCACAATTGAAATCGGCGGATCCAGCGCAGCTCGGCACGGCGACCGCCAGCAGCGACAGTTCACGTTTGATACAGTGTTTGGACCTGACTCTAAACAGGTCAATGTGTATAACTTGACGGCACGACCAATTGTCAACTCAGTCTTGGAGGGCTACAATGGTATGTATGTGTACTTGTGTAGTACATGTAATAGATGCCCAAGGCTGGATTTTTCTAAAACTTTGCTTCTCTAGCTCTTGATATAGAAAAATCCAAAAGCTTTAAAAGCATTCTTGTTGCATGATGCAAGAGTTCACCACCAATGATGTTGGGTTTATAGTGAACCCTTAGTATAGCTACTTCAAGTAGTATAAAGATTGTCATGCACCAAAGTGCTGTGGATCGAACTTGCATCCCTGGACCGAGCGGAATCCTGTCATATCAGGACAGTTTCCGCTGCACCAAGGGTGTCCGGTTAGGGCAGGTTTTACTGTATTCTACAGTGAAACCTGTCTAGTGCGACCGCTCAAGGGACCTTCAAAATGTGGCCTCTGTTACCAGGTGGTCTCCGTATCCAGGGTCGTTTGACTGCAAATAGCATCCCGTGGTCCTGGTTACAGTGGTCTTCTGGGGCAGGTGGTCGCCTTGACAGGTTTTACTGTATATCCTATGCAAAGAGGGAGAGAGAGAGTATCATAGTATCATAGCAATGAGCATGCTTTAAACAGGGAGAGAGAGAGTATCATAGCAATGAGCAATGAGCAATGAGCAATGAGCAATGAGCATGCTTTGTACACAGGTTTTACTCTACCCGGCCTAAGTGGTACCACCCGGCATTGTTGATAAACTTTACGCAACGTCGGAAGAGGTCAGGTTTCGACTCTCCCCACCCTCCCACCCCTGAACGAAAAAAAATATTGTCTTGACATCTACTCTCTTGCCATCTAGAATGGATGGATGTTTCAGCTACTTCAATATTTCCCAAAACAAACGTCCCCTCGACCCACCCACCCATATTTTCGGTTCATGTAGATGATTGATAATAGTGGACAGCCCCTACAATGTTATCAAGTGCGTTTTGACCCATGCACTTGGTACTTGTCCATAGCCTACCCTAAGGTGCTATATCTGTTGCTAGGTTATTTTTGGGATGTTGAGCTCCTAGCTTTGGTGATGAAGATGGACAGCAACTATAATCTGATATACAACTTTGCTGGAAATGTTATGCTTGGCACGCTTAGCTTGCACCTAACCAAGTGGAATGACTGTGCTCGTCAGCGAAACTCGACCCCATGCATAACATTTCAATGCACAGAATGCTGTTTGTAGCGCTAGGGCCCTGTATCATCTGGCACTTGTCTAGTCTTCATCGCACATGACGTAAATCTCACTGGCCGATTCTTGAATATTAGTGTACTAAAGTACGCTAATATTCTATAGGTGTGCTGGAATAGACTGCTGTAGGTGCAGCAAAGTGGCAGACTGCGAAGTGTTCACAATCGCAGTGAGTAATGCCTGTGGTGCCCTTACCAATGCCTTATCTCTGTTCTGTGGTCCACACCCCTGTGTTCTGTCCTATGGTCCTCACCCCTGTGTTCTGTCCTATGCTCCACACCCCTGTGTTCTGTTCTGTGCTCCACACCCCTGTGTTCTATTCTATGGCCAACACCCCTGTGTTCTGTTCTATGGTCCACAACCCTGTGTTCAGGTACAATCTTTGCATACGGGCAGACTGGAACTGGAAAGACGTACACGATGGAAGGAGATCGACGCAACCCCGAAACGTGTGGCATCATTCCGAACTCCTTTGCGCACATCTTCGGTCACATAGCCAAGGCGCAGGAGCAAGCCAAGTAAGTCAAGGTTTACTTCGTTTATACCACTTATTCCGGTCTTTGTTCCATTCCTATGGAAATTTAATCGCTTGGGGATTTAACCACCCTGCTGGTGAGCTTTAACCACCCTGCTGGTGAGCTTGCTGCTTATAGTACTTTCGTCAACATGGACATCCGGTCGAATGACCGGGGCCAGCACCCTCACCGCGTGCAGAACGGTGCATGCAGTGCATATGTTGATCGTATGCGTACTCCTGCCTGAGTTACAGCTGCATGGCCAGCGCACTGGGGCAGCTTGACCTCCGACCGGATTTCCATGTCCACGACAGTACATGTATATGTTGCTCTGTCCTGACGGAAGAACAAGAGATTTACAGCCCTTTCCTGCCCCAGACCCCCATGGAAATTTTATCTCGGCATTACTGTGGTGTCCTGTGCAGATTCCTTGTGAGGGTTTCTTATCTTGAAATCTACAATGAAGAAGTGCGTGATCTACTTGGAAAGGACCAGAAGGCTCGCCTTGAGGTTAGTTTCTCGGATATTGCATGGCAGTACTCGTGCCACCATAGTTGTTCTCCATCTCCATGCCATTACCATTCCCGTGTAGTTTAAAAGTTGATTTTTGTTCCTAGACTAGAGTTGCTATGATTACCAGCCACATGCCCATGGCTGTATTGGATCCAAGCGTGTATTAGCTCATGTATACCGGCTGAGTCAGTGTAGTCCAGTCATCACACCAGCAAACGACCGTCATAGGTACAGCATAGTCAAAATAGGCAAAATGGTACGCCACACCGGAGATGTGCTCTGGTGCCAGGTCACTGCACACCACAGATGTGCGAGCTTCACCCCTAGGCTGAGTGCTTCACCCCTAGGCTGAGCGCTGTCCCTGGAGTATCCATGGTCGTTAGTCAGCCGGGTAATGGTGTCTTGCTTTCAAAGGGCAGGGGATCGACATGGCTTGGCAAGGCTTGGTTTGCGTTTCACACTACTTAACCCTTGCAAAAAGTGCACAATGCCATGAGGGCAGAGCCGAAAACACAAGTTAGCAATGGGACTAGGCTGATTTGAGCTGTAACTCGAAGTTTCGTGGCTATCCACCAATCCTCGGACAACATAGTGTGTTTTGTTGTTTGCACTAATGGTGGATTCCTGTGCAGCTAAGCAACCGTTCTGTACAGTGATACAACCACTATGTACAGTGATACAACCATTATGTACAGTGATATAACCATTATGTACAGTGATATAACCACTCTGGGCATTTAGGAAACTTCACTTCTCAACTCGGAAACAGTCTCTTTACTGCGATTAAAATTGAAATTAATTTTATAAACCAAATTTTCGGGTTTGAGTTTGCGGACAATTAGAAAAGTTTTTTTCTGTGCATTGATACAACCATTCTGTGCGGTGATACAACCATTCTGTGCAGTGATACAACCATTATGTGGGTGCAATTTCCTATGCAGGTCAAGCAGAGACCGGATATCGGCGTCTATGTAAAGGACTTGACAAGCGTGGCAGCGAAGAACGCCGACGACATGGACCGTGTGATGACTGTGGGCAATGATAATAGTAAGGTGCTCATCTCAACACACCCAGGCGGTGCCGACAAAGATGAAGTGCACACAGAGTGTGTACAAACCTGTAGAACGAAAGGAGTTGGTTATATTGTGTGTTTGTTTTCCGGAGATCTACAAAGCACCCAAAGTCACTTAAAGTCACCCATTTCGTGCAGAAAAGTACGGATGACATCACAATGACATCATGCACACGGTCTATACAGTGAAACCGCTCAATATCAAGTACCCTGGATATGCATATACCTGGGAACATACTAGGGGCTATACAAGAGTGATGGGAAGCTGTGTCACGTATTACTACAGTCATCAGGCAACTGATGGCTCCAAAACGGGCAGCCTGAACATAAGGGGGAGCAAGGTGGTAAATTCTGGGGGGTATCATAGCACAAGAGTCAGGTGCAGGCGTGAACTATGGACTATATAAAGTACTATTTCTTTTTGGACCCTGCATACCCTACATAGCGCCGTGTTACCACCGTCTTGTGTTTCCATTCCGTGTTGCTGGGATTGTGGCCCTGGGCTGAACTCATTCACGTGCATTATTTCTGTCGTTGTGGGTTTGGGACTGAAGCATTGTTCACGGGCAAAACACAACTCGATTTTCAACAATGAAGAATTATAACACAGTGACAAGTATTGGAGAATAATTGCATGCTTAGAAAGTGAAATCAAGGCACTCGTGTGGGCACAGGAAAGACAGATTTGCAATACAAGGTGATGAAGAAGCAAGGTGTCATGGTCCATGTGTCTTGCACTTCCATGGGAACCAGCCTGGCTAAATAATGGAGGTCCGAACACCTCAAGTTTGGTTTTCTGGTTCAAAGTTTCTGTTGTATGAAAACTAGAGGCTCTTGTTCGTACACGTTCTCCTGTCTTCTGTGCGACCAGGGTCTGTAGGTTCGACAAAGATGAATGCTACATCATCACGATCCCACGCCATATTCAGTATCACTGTCGAGTGCAGTGAGAAAGGAGCAGATGGATCCGAGCACCTAAGGATGGGAAAGCTACATCTGGTGGATTTGGCAGTAAGTGCAACGGCCACTTCTTGTTAACCCTTTGTCACCTGGATGAATGCATGAGGTGAATTTTCACTAGCCATTGAAACTCGCTATCGCTCGTATCTTCGCCGGCCTAACATTCACCGGGTTACAAACCCAGAGTTGGAAAGGTACTTCCAAGACAAATGACTTGTACCAGAGCCAAACCATCCTGGTGACATGCATGACCTCTGTTTTCATGCTTTCTAGGGCTCAGAGCGGCAATCCAAGACAGGTGCAACTGGCAAACGTCTGTTAGAGGCGACCAAGATCAACCTGTCCCTGTCAACTCTGGGCAATGTTATCTCGGCTCTGGTGGACGGCAAAAGTTCCCATGTTCCGTATCGCAACAGCAAGCTGACACGCTTACTCCAGGACTCGCTGGGTGGCAATGCAAAAACAGTGATGGTAAGTTTGACCGTAGCACAGATATGATTGCTAACCAGATGGTAAGCCATTAGCCCTACCGGATGGAGCCCCGAAAAGAATTGTATTATTTATGAAATGATGTTCCAATCTAACACGGCTGCTCAGCCATACCCACATGTGCTAATGAGACCTAGAGGTCAACCGTTCCGATCTTTGTGTACTGCGTGTATGATAGTATAGCATGAGTGAAAGAGCGTGATGTGACGGTCAGCCAGCACACTGCCCACAGCTGCAGTATAGTTCATTCTGTTGGAGTGAGAACTAGACGACCCCCCCCCCCCCCCCTACACATACACACATACATATTGTGGGTTGTGACGTGGATGTTGTTTGTCTTGCGTACACAGATTGCCAACTGTGGACCAGCTGATTACAACATTGACGAGACACTCAGCACACTTTGGTAAGCTCTGCACTCAGCATGCATATAGAATGATCTCTCTCTCTCTCTCTCTCTCTCTCTCTCTCTCTCTCTCTCTCTCACTCACACACACACACACACGAACACACCCTCTCTTTCTTTCTCTCCTACACAAACACACGGCACACATACACACGTGTATTACACCTCATACTAGTACTCGGATGTGAGCTGGTTATTGGTAACCACTAACCACCCAGGAGAATGAAAGAAGAGATACCATAGTCAAGAATAGTGATTTTCTCTGATGATGGCCTGCCTGAATTTTCACATTTTGTTACTAGGTATGCAAACCGAGCCAAGAACATCAAAAATCAACCCAAGATCAATGAAGATCCAAAGGACGCTATGTT